CAATAAATGAGCTCTCCGCCCAGGGGGCTGGGATCCTGGGGAGCCCCACACATAGAATATGGTCAGCAGAGTGGCAGTAGGAGAGATGCTCCAGGTGGGAGGTTGGAACGGAGACGTTTGGGATCAAGGGCTGGGCCCCATCCAGCCTGGGGGACAGGAGCCCTGGCTCGTGGCCCTGAATGACCGGCAGCGTGATGTGGCCCCTCACGTCCTGCTGAGGAATCCTTTTCCTCAGCTGGGCCTCCAGGAGCCACAAGGAAGAACCCATTCACAGCAAAACAAATAATCTCTCCACCCTCTTAGAAGACTTGGAATCTATTTCTTTTCTTTTTCCTCATATGGTGCATGTCAGATAGAAGTTAATTCTTAGGCAAAGCATCTTATTAAAGACTGTATTACAAAGTTCACGTTTAATACAGAACTAGCCATTTTTTTATCCTGTCCCTTGAAAAGGAGATACGTGCTATTAATTTATTTTGAATTAATTATGTAACACAGCTTGTTGACAAATACATCTATGAATGATGGATCTTGTTTGATTTGGGGAAACAAATGCATATGAGAATGTAGATGGACATCTGATTGTGTTTATCACTGAAATGGAAACGAACAGCTTCTATGACCTGACATTAGGCATCTTTATGTTTTTGTGTCTAAGCTATTGGCTTATTGATTCATTTTGAGATTTGCTTTCAAATTGGCTATAACAAGGAGTGAAGGCTCCAGGCTGCCCATAGGATACACTGATGGAAATAGCTCTACCCGCTTCCAGTAGATGGGAAGCCAGATGGGTTAGATTCAGCCTGTATTTTCTCTCTGTCTGTGGTTTTGGAGGAGCTGGAAGCACAGGGTGGGCTTCATGAGGGCTCTGATCAGATGGCGTCCATGAAAGGTGCTGTGAGGCCCATGCACTGAATTATCATCATCGCAGCAACACTCACTGACTTGCATTTCAGCTTCACTGTCCTCAAGCTTCTTGATCTCAACCATTACTTTTGCGGACCTAAAGGAAACAGGGTGTGAGTAAGAACGTGAACGCCCTGAGCTATCACACAGCCCACTTCCTATAGGTAGCAGCAGAGGTACAATGGGGCTGATGCTCTTAGGACGTGTTAGCCGGGCCCATACTGCAGTAAGCACCTGATAAAGCCACGGTGATGATGACGATTAATGCTGGCGAGAAGAGGCGCCATGCGCTGAGGGCGTCTGAGATTTGGCCCAGAGAGCTAGGGCTCCGGAGCCAAACTACTGGGTGACCACGAGCAAATCGCTTACCCTTTCTGTGCTTCCGTTTCTTCTGTTTAAGGTACCTGCCCCGTATGTCTGTTGTGGGGTTGAATTGGAGTACTGTCACACGAAGTGGTAAGAACTCTAAAAAGTAACTTTTTAAAAAGATCATCATCGTCGTCATCACCATCATCATCGTTGTCGTCGTCATTGGAAATGACAGAGCTGAGCTATGAGACGTGAGTCAGAACCTGGAAGGGACAGGCATTCCAGGCTGAAGGAACGGGTCTGTGCAAAAGGCAGGGCTGAGATGCAAGGGGAGAGCGGAATACGGCGAGTGGGGCTGGGGCAGAGGGATGGAACTGCGCCGCCCACCCGCCGCCAGCGTCTTCTGGGCTAACTGTGCTTGCCGTATGCTGGGCAAATGGACTGGAACCCTCTTACCTCCAGCTCACCTGCAACCAACAGCCTGCTTCAGCACCGTGGGCTCCTGGCACAGGTGGGACCTCTGAGAGTCGGTGGGAAGACAGCATACGAGCCTGGGGTGCAGAGCCTGCTTCCTAGGGCTGCTGCTGCCACCTTGGAAAGGGGACAGACGCATCTGCCGTGTAGTCAGGGCTCTGGGTGTTATTTAATTTTAACAACCCCAGAGTGTGTGTGTGTGTGCGCAGTGACTGTCCCATATTGTAGATGAGGAGACTCAGAGAGCCTGCGCAAAGTCTCATCGTTGGTCACGGGAGGAGATGGGTTCAGGCCTGGATGTGTCTGGGATGGGTGGGAGGCCGCGCTCTCTGGCATAGTTGGTCACTTGGTTCAGGCTCCTTTGCACAGCTGGATTGCTCTCTGAACCCTTGTCCCAGTTAGCCAAGTGCCTTGGGAGACCCTCCGGGCCCCCAGTTGCCTCACACATAACACACTCAGACTCACTCCTCTCCATCCTTTTCTTGGACACAGGGAGCTCTCAGCTGGGAATTTAGACTCTTGGGGATCATCCAAATCTCTCGCTCCTCCTTCTATTCTATGCTCAGTGAGCCACTCAACAAACATTTACTAAGGATCTACTATGTGCTGGGCACTGTCAGGTTCAAAGGAGAAGCGGGTGCCACGTACAACTCTTTCTGAGAATGATCATTGGCAGAGGCTATCTAGGAATCACAATATTTATTCAACAGAATACCCCATTCTGCCAGCTTTTCCAAACACCAACAGCTTTTGGGGACTTGTTAGGTGCTGTGCCCTGAGCTCGAAGCTTCATGCTGTGGTTCTGGCACCAGCCATTTCCACAGAGGGGAGGCACGTGGGGGGCCTCCTCTCTCTCCCATTCCCAGGCAGCAGCTCGTGTGAGCAGCTTGTTGTGTGTCACCGCATTCCCACCCACACAAGGAGACATAGAACTGCGGCGTTTTAGGAGAGATATTCTATTAATCTTACCATTCTGCAACTATCCCACCTGCCCATGGTCATGTTTGGCCATCATTCCAGGTCATTATGGAAGGATCTGTGTCACTTCCCCGTCACTTTAGGGAAATAGAAAGTGATTAGTGGGAGACCATCTCATCCCTTGGAGTCCTCATAGAGACCGAGTTGCTGTGCTCACTTTCTGGGGGAAGTACAGCTCTGCCCTGCTCTTGCTGAGTGTCCAGAATTCCAACACCAGCTTCTCTTTCAGCATGAAAGAGTGCCGAGCACATAGTAGGTCCTCAACAAATGTTTATTGAATGAACCACTAAGGGTAGAGTAGAAGGAAGATGCAAGAGATCTAGATGACTTCCAAGAGTCTAAAATCTCAGTAGAATTCCTCAGCTGCTCAGCTTCTCCCTTAGGGAAAGATCCTTAAGTGGTTCTAATCTCCTTTCTTTTTGGAAGTTGCAGCCAACATGTTTTGTTTTTTTTTCCGGTACCAGGAATCGAACTCATGACCTCGCACTTGCCAGGCAGGTGCTGTGCCGCTGAGCTAAATCTCCAGCCCCCCAACATGTCTTAATAAACATCGTCACACATGGAAGTTTTGTTGTGTAGGTAGAGTCCTAGGAGCCAGACTGCTGGGTCAGAGGGCACGGGTATTTAAGACTCTTGGAGGTGCCACTGCCAAATTCTCCTCTGCTGGGATTGTAGGGTGGACACGTGGCTGTGGTCTGGTGGCAGAAGTGGGGTGTGAGGATTGCAGGGCTACTTAGCGGGAACCGGCTGAACTCTGTCTTACAGAAGCGGTTCTGGGCTTGGTGTATGTGAGAGACAGGGCCTCAAAGTGAATGGCACCATCTCCCATGTCGCAACGACTCGATTCCTGTTCTCTCATGGGCCTTATTCCATCCCCTGGTGGAAAGGGACACCCAGGGTAAGGCCCACGAACGCCTCTGTAAAGCTTGCACTCTGACCCAGGCCTGGCCAAAAATCACATCCATTTCACAGATGAAGGAACTAAGGCTCAGGGTGGTGCCCTGATCGTCCAAAATTCCACAGCCTGGCTACAGGGGGTCTGAGGCTGGATCCCTGGCCTGAAGACGCCTGTGGGATGCCAGAGAGATGGGTTGGTGCTCCCGGGAGAGCAGCCTGGCCAGGAGGGGCTGAGCCTGAGGTAGTGGGTGATTCTAGGGGTGCCACTGACTCAACTATGGGACCCTGGCTCTTTTCCTTTCAGACTGCAATGGTGGCATCTGTGAAATGGGTAGGTAGGCTTGGGGCGGGGTTTACACAAGCAGATGCCCACATAGGACCCAGGAGACAAGCAGATGTGGCCAGTTCATGGATCTGACATTTAAGGGGGGGCCGGGCCCATGCCACAGAGAAAGGATGCCCCAGCTGAGGGACTATTTCTACTAGGCTGGATCCTGGGAGGGAGCAGGCCCAGTCTTGGCAGCATTTCTTAGGCGAAGTGGAAATCCAGTCCTGTCCAAGATGTCAAGCAAGGTCAAGGTTGGTTCTTAGAGATCTTATTAGGCCTCTTGGGACTCTCAATCTCTTATAATTCTGAAGATCAAAGATCCCTAACTTTTCCTGAGCTATGGACCTTTTCTCTGAGCAAATCTTTTAAATGCATAAAATAAAATACATTACCTTACAAAGGATTCCAATTATACTGGCTCACAGCTGTCAAAATACGAAAAACCACATTTTTGATAGAGTAATAAATGTACTTTATTAACATACTAAATAACAAGAGCTAGGACAGAGCTAATTAGTATCATAATTTCGCAGCAGTGATGAGTGTAAATAATCTTTTGAGATAGCAGCAATGACTAATGTGATATGAAAATATCTGTGATTTCTCTTGGTGACAAAGTCAAGGGCACAGCTAATATGACTGTGGTTTGTTGTTGACATTCACAAGGGAAGGAAACACTAAATTTCAGTTAGTGAAAGGACAGATGCGTTTTGTGTTTTTTCCTTTAAGCTTATCAAGCCCCCTGCTGCTGAGATCCTTTGTCGTGGGTGGGGTTCAGTGTGAGCAGGGAGGGCTGGGTCCCTGGGTGTTTCAGCATGGGAAGTGTTTCTGCGGCTAAAAGGCTAAACTGGGGGCCTTGGGTGCCCATCCACCCTGCAGGACTGGGCAGCTGCAACAAACCCCAGCTCTGTGAAGGGCCCACCTCTGCCCTTCCTCCCTGTATCTCTGGTGAGTCACAAAACGTCCTTTCTCAGGAAGACCAAATATAAACATTTGGGGATTATCTTGAGAACAAGATGTTTGTTTACTTTTTAAAATTGCAGCCCTGGCAAAGTGCTGAGGCCTACAGCTGCAATTAATAATAATTTAGGTCAATTTCTCCGGGCAAAGCTGCAGCATGGTGTAAAGAGACCAACACCAGCATTCTCCCTGTTTTGTGTTCAGGTAACGTTGTTTGTTTCTTCTTAGTCATAGGTATTTTTTTATGGCTTTTATCCTCATTGTTAAAATTTCCAAACACTACAGAAAGCAACATTTCCCCCATTTTAACTCATTCCCCAGAAAGAGCCGCTACTGAAGGATCAGAATATATCATGTGGGGCTTGTTTTTCCTGTACTCGTACACATCGCTGTTCGTGGAATTCTCTTTTTAAAAAAGGCGTTCTATTATATATTGTTATCTTCAAAGTAGTTGCTCAGATTGCCAGATATAGGCATGCAAGGTTGATAAAACAATTAAACATTAACTGTTGTTGTGATACAACTATTGTTAATTTCCTATCATCTTTTTTTGAAATTCTGTATTGTTTTCATTGTTTTTGTGTTGTTTTGTTTTTGTTTTTGTCATTTTTATCTTTGTTCTTTTCTCTTAAAATAAAAATGGTGTTCTATAACTTTTATTTTTCACTTAATATGTTTAAAAATATTATTTTCTTCTATATCTGTCTTAACTACACTTTCACTTTCAGAAGAAGAGATACCGTGCTTTATTAATCTTTACACATCTATGACCTTATCCAAAAATTTATACATGTTTGCTGAGTTAACCAAAATAAGGAGTACATGAGCTTATTTTTCAAAAATATAAACACCTTCATATGTCCATTGAACAATATTGTTTCGGGATAGCTGAAAACAAAATTGTAGGACATTTTTCAATAATCATTAAAGAGTACTTCGTTGTTTTCAGTTTTTTGCTTATTCCTATTCTGTATCAATCATATAAGTCTGTGCATACTTCTTTATGTATTTTTTAGACTCAGAGAGAAGCTTATTCTGAAAAACATTGTCAAGTTTCTCCTTCTATAGGTTGAACCAAATTGTAGCCTATCACTGCAAAAAATTTTCTTTCTCTTCTTGCACTAAAATTGTGCAATTTATTTATCAGATTTAAACACACTTTATTCATCAAAAATTCAATCCACTTTAAATATACCAAATTGCCTCTATAATTTTTTATAGTAACATTTCTGGCAGGACTTTTCTTCTTTTGAACACTTTAAATGATAATATATTTTTAAATAATTGAAGCTTCCAGAAAAGTTACTAGAAAAATACAAGGAACTTTCATAATACCCTTCACCCAGATAACCAAATTGTTAGCATTTTGTCATGTTTTTATTTTCTTCTATGCTTGCTCTCTCGCTCTCATCTTTGGAGAGCACACTGCAGACACTGCAGACGTAGTATCCAATCATCTCCAGACACTTGTGGTGTGAACTTTCCCAAACCAAGCCCATTCTCTATCCAACCTCAACATTCAGTACAAACACTACCATCCAATCCACCGACCCCACTCTACGTTCCAACAATAGGTCTTTTCCCTTTTGGTCCTGAATCTTGTCCAAGAATATGCATTTAGTTCTTGTGTGTTCTCAGTTTCCTCCAAGCTTTGGCAGATCCTGCCTTCCCCTTCTCTTCTGACTCCTCAGCAGTCTTAAAAGATATAGACTTTATATTCTCAAGCACCCAGGCCCCTCTGATGCTTCCTCCAGTCTATGTTACAGTCAGATCGTGCTTCCTGGGTGGGAGGATCATGAAATGATCCTCGCTTTTGAGGAAATGACACCGCGCTTTTGCAGCACATGAGCTCAGGCGGCACATGTTGGTGACCTGTTCTACCTGGAGAGGTTAACCCTGATCATCTGGTCATGTTGCTACCCACCAGGTTTCCCATCTGAACCTCAACCGTTCCCTTTTGTAACTGATCAGTGTGTTGCCGGCAGACTTTCTGAGCTGAAGCCAATATCCTGTTCTTCAGGGACAGCTCCTGCTAGATAGACCATATTCATGATGATTTCCAAATGGTGAGTTTCTACTCTCATCCTTCCTTCTACAGGTAGCCAATTGTCTACTGTAAGGGAAAGCTTTGCCTTTTCCTTTTGTATATGTAGAGGGATGCAGTATTTATGTCAGTAGACGCTCATAGATTCCTACTTTAGAACCTATTTTATTATCTATTTTGATGCTCAAATGGTCCCAGAGATGCCCTAGTGAGACGGCCCTTAAAGAATGGAGAAGCTCTTCTATCCTTTGGCCCAACTCCACTGTTCATTGAGCATGTTCTTTCTCTCTGGCACAACGCAGTATCCTAGGTTCAACTTCTCTTATATTTACTGTCCATAGAATCAGTCATTTCTTTGAGGAGCCTTGGCCCATTTTCATGGAGGATGATATTTTAATCAAGATCTGGGCATTTAGTATGCTCATTGCCCCCGGGATGTTATTGCTTCTGGGTAGGTGTGTGTACACACATGTGTATATACACATATCTCCTCCCAATTATTCACCTGTAAATTATTTCCATTATCTATTCACATACATATTACACAACCATGAGCTTATGCCAAAGCCTCCAATATTAGCTCAGCCCCTCAGTGCTCCTTCTAGTCTTCTCCTTTTCCATGTCTAAGTATCTTCTTAAGCAGTGAGAGTTTGGGCCTTTGTCATCATCAAGATATTTACTTATTTGCTCAATTGAATTTGCTAATTTGCTTAATATAATCCCTCTCCCTCCCTTGCCTGCTGTCTTTCCTTCTCACCAGCTCAGCAGCCTTTATCCAGTCCATATCTTTGGCCCTAGTGACTGTGAGCCCACACCTCTTGGGTCCCCTAGCTCCTCCTTCCCCTCCTACTATTTTATGATAATGTCCCTACTACATAGTAAGCCCTTAACAAATGCTGACTATACCATGAAATTCATGAATGGGATAGGAGGCTGAGAACTGTAGTCATCTTGATCTTAAAATTACTTTGTGGCCCAAAGACTTAACTACACTTAACTACAACTACAAAGACAGAACATATCAGTTAATATATGTTTGGGATACAGTTGTTTAAGCCTATGAGTTTTGTTTTGAAGACAGCTTTCATTGTTTAAGTTGTTGTCTTCCTTGAGTCAGGAGGTTTGGAGGAGAGAAAATATCTCAATTTCTATTTTTAGGTTTGCTTTTACTATTAATCTAGATTTTTATTGTATCAAGGTCTGCTGTCAACTGTATCATACCTTCTTTTAGGATTTTTAGGTTTCCTTTGTGCCCTAGCACATCACAAATATTCCACTTGCAGGTGAAGAAAAGGAATGTTTTCTGTTCTCTGTGTGTGGTGTTTAATATATTATATATATATATATACACACACACACACACACACACACACACACACACACACAGACTTGATCATTTATATCCTTAATTATTTAACCTGTAAAGAACTGAGAGGAGATTGTTTCCTCTTGTGTTTTCACTGATTTCACATTGTACTCATCTAGGGATTGTGCCTCATGTGTCTTGATGCTACATTATCTAGAACATGAAGTGTTATGATAACTATTCTTATTGTGTTCTGTATTCTTTAGCATTATGGGTGATGCTTTCTCTCATTTAATGATTTTTTGTTTCAATGTAGCCTTGTCCAATATTAATATTGTAAATCCTCATTTCTTTCAGTTTGCCAGTGCTTGGTAGGTCCTTGAAAATTATTTTATTTTATGTTTTTTTATTGCATTGTATTTTGAAACAGGGTCTTGCTATGTAGGTCAGTTCAGACTGGCTGTGAACTCACTAGTCCAGGCTGGTCTTAAATTCATGGCAATCCTCTGCTTCAGCCTCCTGAGTGCTAGGATTAAAAGTGTATACCACCATGCCTGACATGATTTTACTTTTTAATTTCCCACACCCTTCTGTCCCTATGCAATTGATCAGTTACTGATATAGTTTATCATATGTTTTTCTTTCTAAAAAGACACATACTTAAATATCTCTTTTTTAGTTTGTTTGCTCCAGGGAGAAAAACCAAGTGTGTGATAATATATACCATCTTGCTACTATAAAATTATAAGATCTGTGGATTCATACTTCCTTCTCATTCCAATTTTGTTATGATCTGATATTTTTTACCACAGTCCATTATTGGCATATTATTTTTTTTACATACATTTTAATATACATTCTCTTTTAGGGATTATAAATTTGAATCAAAATTAAGTTTCACAATTATTGAAGTTTAATTTTATACTTAAAAGGATCTAGGACTTACTTTTTGCCCTTGCCTTCAATTCCTTCCACATTTCAGACTACTTTGTGTTGAACACAAAGTTGTTTGTTTTTCGTAGTGAGGTTTGACATTTATTACAGGTAGGAAATGAAGTATGCTCCACAGAGCAAGTGTGGACACTGAGAAAAGAGAGCATCTGGCCCTGCTGAACTACCTTTTGAGCTTTTTTAGCGGGAGCATTACTAGACCTTACCCAGACTAGACCCTCACCCAGACTAGATAAGCACTTTCCCACTTATCTACATCTCCAGCCCTTGAGCTCTCTTTTGGTTATCAGGCTTCACTGTCCAAAAATACTTTCAAAATGATGTATTTAACGGATTGTCTAGTCCAGAGTTTTATGGATGTTCCGCATCAGAAGTGACAGGTCAACACAGAGAAATGAACAGGACAGTCTGACACTCTCCCTGTGTTGGTACCTTGGTTTTCCCTGGTAGGTGCTTCTTTCTCCATTTCTTTATACTGAACATCCTCATCAGAATTACATCTGGATTTTCATCTTTCTCTAACACTGTTTTTTGAACGCCATATACTCTTTCAACCGCATGTTCAGTTTTTTCCTTTATGATGTGATGGATCATTTGTGGTACACTTATTCTTGCCTTTGAAGATTCCAGTCTATATGTCTATCTCCACTGTTTGTCACCCATAACAATTACCTTCTTTTAAACTGTGTCTGGCGCTGACCTTTTCCTTTCCACTGTGTGTGATTTTCCCACAGCCTGTCTTTGATACTCTCTGTCGGTTCTGTCTCCACTGTTTCTTAGTTATTTAATGGCTGCCTGGTGATGTGACACAGGCTTATAATTTCTTTCCTTGGTTCTGCAGTTCTCCTCATCTCATTCTATTAAATTATCATCTCACTTTTAGTTTCTTTGAGGCTTTAACACACTTTTAGTCTAATTTTTTTTCTGCTTCCTAGGCTATATCTTTTTCAATACTGGAGTCTTCATCTTTAGCATGATCCATTTTTCCTTTCCTTCACTGTTTTTGCTTGAAATTTTCCATAGCTTTCCTGTTATTTTGTTATTATGATGGTGATTTTGGTGTATTTCTCTTTGAACCACTGTGGTTTTATCAGGTCTATTGTTTGTCCAAACAGAATATTGAAGTCTCCCCACCTTGTTTCCCTGCCTAGCTGGCTCTTACTTATACCCTCATCTTCTTGGGCTGGGTCTGCTCTCCATGGCCAGGGAGGTAGGGAAGGAGGTGCTGGGCCCCTGGCTGTTGGGAGTCAGTGAAATTTGTGTCTTTCTCTACAGAGCACCGGGACCGAAGCCTTGCAGAGGATGTGGGGACACCTCAGCGGAGAGTGGTGGGGAGGAAGGACACTCAGTTTCAGGAGGTCTTTAGTTTTCAGAGGGAGCCTGCCTTTCGAGGCAGTCTTTGCCATAAAAACAGTCAGTTTCAGGCCATCTCTGCAATTGTGCTCTTTTGTCTTCTTGTGCCATGAAATTCGAGGGATGCCAGCTTTCCAGCATACGCAGAGAGGCCCAAGGTGTTATTCTCACACCACATCTCTCACCCTGGGTTACCTTTCCCTAGTGATATTTCTTTTCTATTTTGCAGTAACTTTTTTGTCTGGTATAGCGAGCACTTCCTGGTCCTCATCACAGTCTGGGAAGTTTATATTTGTAATCCCATGGGAAGTTATTAGAATTCTAGCAACTTAGTTCCAATCTACCACTACCAGCGCATAAAAAAAAAAAAGGACATAATTATATAACTAAAATGGTGGGGAGCCAAGGGGGGTCCTAAGTCCAGCTAGGATGATGGCTAACTGGAACAAAGGCCTTGACCCAGGGCTAATTTGTGAAGAAGGGAGTGGCTTGAGGATGAGTGACTATGAGAATGGCAGAAAGTACATGAGTGCTGTGAGCTAGACTAGGTAGGAGGCCTGAAATCACCTCTGCAATATGCAGAGAGAAGGATCTGCGAAAGGAGTAATCTGCATAACACAACTTGAGGTAGTATCTAATGTTTTGGGGTTGGTGCTTTAGCTTTGATGTGTAATTTTTTATGCCCTGGGAAGTAATAGCCTCTTATCCCAAGGCTTGATCGCAGCTGACAGCAGGGAGCATGGCTCTCCATCCCAGCTGGCTCACACATGTTTTGGGGAGCTACCGGAGCAGGGTAACATTGACCTGTTGCCTTGCTTCAAAGACTACCTATAAGCATCTCAGCTAGACTGATTTGCATTGCTTAAAGCCAGTTGAAGGGAGAAGGAAAAGTCCTAGCCAGCTCTGTACATATTAACATATGGAAATAGGGCCATGTTTAGCCAACATGAGATAATTGCTCTTGTTTCAAGGGGAGCCATCCAGTTGGTCGCCCACAGTCTGGTGTCTCTACTCTTGAAAGAGTTCTATTTCCTTCTCAGTTAGAGGCAAGTGTATTGGTCCTCCCTGTCACGACTGACACCCACAGCTGGAAAGAAGAGGGGTTTATTCTGACTCATGTTTTCAGAGAGTTCAGTCCATGGCCTGTGGGCACCAAGACAGAAACAGCATGCAGAAGGTTTGGCAGAGGAAAGCTGCTGAACCCATAATGGCCAGCAGAGAGAGAGGAAGGTGTCAGGGATAAGAACACACCTTTTCAGTTCACATCTTCATCGACCCAACTCATGCAATCAGCCCCACCTCCTAACAGCGCATTCAGCTATGAACTCATGGATGGATCTATTCACTACAGAGTTTAGCAGCCTCATGATCTAATCACCTTCTGAAATTTACCTTCTGAACACTTGAGATTT